AATTACTGATTTGATTCTCAGCTTGATTGACGTTGGTATATAGCAGTGCTACTGATTTGTCTACACTGATTCTGTAACCTGAGACTTTACTGAATTTATCAAATCTAAGAGTCTATGATTTTCTAGGCATACAATCATATCATCTGCTACAGCAATAATTTGACTCTCTCTTTTCCAATCTGGATACCCTTTCTCTTGCCTAATTGTTCTGGCTAGTACTTCCAAGAACTGTGTTGACTAGGAGTGGTAAAAGTGAGGCATCCTCGTCTTGTTCCTGTTCTCTGGGGCAATGCTTTCAAATTTTCCCCATTCCATATGATGTTGGCTGTGGGTATGTGTCCGGATGGCTTCTTATTATTTTGAGGTAGGTCTCTTCTACTCTCAACAGTTGGTTGACAGTTATCATAAAGTGTGCTGGATTTTGCATCTATTGAGATAATATGTTTTTTGTTTTAAATTCTGTTTATGCCCTGTATCACATTTACTGACTTGCATATGTTAAACCATTCCTGCTAGGTGAGTTTCCTGAAGACAGCAAATATTTGGATTCTGTGTCCATTCTGCCATGAAACCCACTTGGTCATGACGAATTATCTTTTTGATGTGTTGTTGGCACTTAGCTAATATTTTGTTGAGGATTTTTGCATCTGTGTTCATCAGAAAAATTGGTCTGCAGGTTTCCTCTTTTGTTGTATCCTTTACTAGTTTTCTAATTGGGATGATACTGGTTTCATAGAACGATCTAGGGAGGATTTCTTCTCTCAATCTTTTGGGAATAGTTTCAGTAGGATTGGTACCAATTCTTTGAACGTCTAGTAGAGTTCAGTTGTGAATCCATCTGGTCCCAGGCTTTTTTGTTGTTGCTGGCAATTTTTTAATTACTGATTCAATCTCACTGCTTGTTATTGGTCTGTTCAAGGTTTTACTTCTTCATGATTTAATCTAGGAAGGTTGTTTCCAGGAATCTGTCCATTCCCTCTGGCTTTTCTAGTTTGTGCACATAAAGGTGTTCACAGTAGTCTCGAATGATCTCTTGTGTTTCTGTGGTGTCGACTGCAATGTCACCAGTTTCATTTCTAATTGAGCTTATTTGGGCCCTCTTTCTTCTTGATTAATCTAGCTATTGGTCTATTAAATTTATTTTTTCAAAGCAACAGCTTTTTGTTTCACTGATCTTCTGTACTTTTTGTGTGTTTGAATTTCATTTAGTTCTGCTCTGATCTTTGTTACTTCTTTTCTTCTTCTAGCTTTAGGTTTAGTTTGTTCTTGTTTTTACAGTTCCTTGAGGTGTGACATTAGGTTGTCAATTTGTGCTCTTTCAGACTTTTTGATGTAGGCATTCAGTGATATAAGCTTTCATCAGCACTGCTTTTGCTGTATCCCAAAGGTTTTGATAACTTGTCTCATTATTACCATTCAATTCAAAGAATTTTTAAATTTCCATCTTGGTTTCATTGTTAACCCAGATATCATTCAGGAGCAGAATATTTAACTCACATGTATTTGTATAGTTTTGAGGGTTCCTTTTTGAGTTGATTTCTAGTTTTATTCCACTGTGGTCTGCAGAGATATCTGATGTAATTTCGATTTTTTAAAAATTTATTGACATGTGCTTTGTGGCCTATCATATGATCTATCTTGGAAAATGTTCCATGTGCTGGTAAGTATATTCTGGCCAGGCATGGTGGCTCACATCTGTAATCCCAGTACTTTGGGAGGCCGAGGCAGGTGGATCACCTGGTGGATCATCTTGGCCACCCTGGCCAAGATGGCAAAATCCCATCTCTACTAAAAGTACAAAAATTAGCTAGGCATGGTGGCAGGCACTGTAATCCCAGCTACTCAGGAGGATGAGGCAGAGAACTGATTGAACCCAGGAGGCAGAGGTTGCAGTGAGGCAAGATCTTGCCACTGCACTCCAGCCTGGGCGACAGAGCAAGATTCTGTAAAAAAAAAAAAAAAAAAAGAATGTATATTCTGCAGATCTTAGGTAGAATGTTCTGTAAATATCAGTCCATTTGTTCTAGCATGTCATTTAAGTCCCTTGTTTCTCTGTCGACATTAGTCTCAAAGATCTGTCTAGTGTTGCCGGTGGTGTACTGAAGTCTACCACTACTATTGTTTTGCTGTCTACCTCATTTCTTAGGTCTAGTAGTAATGGTTTACAAATCTGGGAGCTCAGTGTTAGATGCATATAAGTTTAGGATTGTAGTATCTTGTTGAATTGATCCTTTTATCATTATATCATGACCATCTTTGTCTTTACTGTCGTTGCTTTGAAGTTTGTTTTGTCTAAGAATAGCTACTCCTGTTTGATTTGGGTTTCCATTTATGTGGAATACCTTTTTCAACTTTTTGAGTTTATATGACTCCTTTTGTTAGGTGAGTTTCTTGAAGAGAGCAGATAATTGGATTCTGTGTCCATTCTGCCATTCTCTGTTAAGTGGAGCATTTAGGCCATTTACATTCAATGCTAACACTGAGATGAAGTATCATTCTCTTCATCATGTTGTTATCTAGTTTGTTTTTATTTTTATTTTTTCATTGTGTAATTGTTTTATAGGTTCTGAGTTTTAAGCTTTCTACTTTGGTGCATATCAGGCATTTGTTTCAAGGTTCAGAACTCCTTTTAGCATTCCTTGTAGTGCTGGTTTGGTAGACTTCATTTCTCCTTCATTTACAAAACTTAGTTTTTGGGATCAAAAAAAATCTTGGCTGATAGTTGTTCTGTTTAAAGAGGTTGAAGACAGGACCACATTTCTTTTGGCTTTTAAGGTTTCTGCTGAGAAGTCTACTGTTGGTCTGATAGGTGTTCCTTTGTAGGTTATCTGATGCTTTTGTCTTACTGGCTTTAGAATGCTTTCCTTCATCAGTCAACAATAATTTACTGTACATTTAAAAAGAAATAAAAGTATACTTGGAATTTCTGTTACACAAAGAAATGAGAAATGCTTAAA